CAACCGTTATTTTTTTTCACTCCGGCTCTGTAACCGTTTGGATTTGTTTTGATTCGAAATGTTATTTCGGCCATGATGAGTGGTTGGAATCTTTGTGACATCACGCCATGACATCAGAGATCAAAGGCACCAGATCTTAGTAGGGTCAGCTCAGAAAGTGAAGTCGTCTTGATGCGTCGCAGCAGCTGGATAGGAGAGACTTTAATAACCACACGGGTAATTTAGTGCCGGTCGGTCATTAATTGTTTTACATTTGACATTTTAGATTGGAAGATTGCAAGATTTGGACTTGAATTGATCCATAACACTACTTAATACTGAAACACAAAGGTTTATCGTTGAAAAAAGTGGTTTTAGGGTTTAGTTACTCTTTAAAGACACAGCGAATCAAAACAATGCAGAGCCCAAACGCCAATCAGAGCACGGTGCAGACATTCCCGATGCTGACGACCGAGACTCTCCGTCCTGTCATGGACATGTTCCTAGATAGGCTCACTTTTGATCAGTGGGTCAGTCTGGCGGACAGCTCCGATGACATGAGCGCCAAAGCGTTAGTCACGACCTTGTGTATTGATATCGTGCAAACTTTAACAAAACACATTTTCATGGCATTGGAGAGGAAGGACTCTCAACAGAGTCCTCCAAAATCATCCAGATGCTCCTCAGGGTCCAGTAGCTCTCGGAAGAGCATTACAAGGAGGCAAATTCAAGACTGTCTGGGCGACACTATTTCTCTGACTCTTGCGGAGGCGATAGGTGTCAATGAGGAGATCCATTGCCGGAGCATAGACAAGGTGACCGGGCTCGTTGTGAAAGAAGTCACAGAGAGGATGAACTCTGACTGGGTCAGCGAGGGAAAAGAACCACAGGCCTCCAAGAAATTCACTGGGAGACTGAAAAAAATGTCTCAAAATCTTATGACAGTTCTTAGAAAGTTTATGTCATTTGAGCCAAGAGAGTCAAGTCTCTCTCGTGAACTCGTGGCAGAGGAGGAGGAGGAGCTGGCTGAAGACGAGACATGTCTGAGCCCGGTGACTCCCCTGATGGACGATGATGAGCCCGACTATTCCTCTAAGGAGGGTCTATTTAGCACTGAAGACGTGAAGATGATCCTGAAGGAACTGGCGGGGGGAATCCAGGTTTTTGAGGCTGAAGCTGTCTTCTCAGACGAGGAATTCGCCTGGCTCGAGGACAACACTGAGCAGGATTTAAACAAGGCAGCTTCTGACATCGTTGAAGCTATGGAGAGGGATTTCCCACTTGAGACAACCAGCAGGGACTGTGCATCAGTCGAACCTAAGGAAACAGCCTTGTGGCAGAAGGTCACGAGGAGAATTAAGACCTTCTTTGTGCATAAATTTGCTAAAGAATCGATCCTTCACTTTTTTGTAAAACTGAGGAACAAGTTTGCCAAATCACTTCCCAAAAAGGACAAAGAATCCATGAAGCTGTTAATTGACGGCGTGGATTGGATTGTGGATGATCTGATCAGAGAGGAAGATAAGGACAATAATGTGATGTGCATTTATAGAAGAATGGCCAGAGACATCACCAACGGGGAGTACGAGCTAACAGAGAAGCACCTGGCTGAATTCATATTCTTACAGCTATCACCGGACAAAAAACAAAAAGTCTCAATGATGGGTTTCATTCATACCGAGGTCGACTCCTTCATGAAGCTGATGTGGAACTGGCTAAACCAGCAGATACAGCACCGGAGCTGCCCCGCCGCCACCGCTCTGATGATGATCGGGGGAGTCGTGGAAAAGAGTCAGACTTCAGCATTAAGGGATGAAGCTGAGGAGACTGAAGGACACATGTGGGACAGGCTAACCTGTGAGGTTATGGTGACTGGGCTGGTGGATCACATTCTGAAAAAGACTCTGGTCCATCCATCCAGTGACACCTACCAATCCACCATCACAGCAATGACGGAGCTGCTCTGGGTAAAGATGAAAGACTCTGAAATGATTTTTGATCCCAGCACAGACAATTTAAAAAAGATGTTCAAGAAGCTGCACAAAGAACTCAAGAAGGAAATTGGTGAAGAGACGCTGTGGTGGCGCATGGTATTTCAGGAGGAGCCCGTCATCAGGTACATTGTTAACACTCTGGAGAAGCACCTGTTAATTCCAAAACAGAGCAGCAAGGTTAAGCAGTTCTTCAAGAACGCATGCAAGATCATGGCCAAGCCGTTCGTGTACACCTTCAGATGTGGCTAAAGGAGTCATCATGGACAATACAAGGGTGCGTGGGTGGCACACTGGGGCCTGAAGTCCCGCCTCATGTCTCTCTTACTCTCTGTGCTACCAGCCTCACTTTGGCTAGGAGCACAGAGAGTTCAAGCTGGATGAGATGCAGGACTTCAGGTCCCTGCAGGACCACAGAGGGGGGGGAAGTGGGTTTACTCCGAGCGCTTCGGTTCTCCCACAGTTAATTCAATTCGGCCAAAATAATTCAATTAGAAAATATTTTTGATTCAACTAATTTTAAAAACTCCTTCCTGGAATTTCTTCACAAATTCAATGTGATAAAAAAAAAAAAAAAAAAAAAGATCAATAAATGATATAAAGTCAAAACAGATTTAAAAAGTTGCTTTTGTCTTTTAACCTTCCTGATGTTTTGTTGAGGTTTCCTCTGCCTCTGGTTTGAACTGAACTCTCTCTCTTACTTTGGGCTCTATTTTTCTCTTTACAATTCAAAGTTTATCAGAAATCTGTTTTTAAAACACACACACAAAGAGAAGTTTTTTGAGTACAGGTGTTGGCAGAAGTGGTTAAGTATGACGTTATCCACCGCTGTCCTTGGTCCTGAATGTCCGGACTGCACGGCTCTACTCGTGGTGCTGGTACTTTCCAGGGTCCTGATTTCTAGTTTGCTGGTAAATTAAATACATTTATGGACAAATGGAAACAAGGAATAAAGATTTTTTTATATTTTGGAGGTCTAACAAACAACCACACTCTTATTCACAATATCTAGGAGACGAACTACACTACTACAGTTCTCTAAAATGGTTTGGATTTGGACTGCAGTACCCATTTTATACACTAGGGATCAGAGTTACATATTGCTCCTTTGAATTGATTTGTTTATTGAGAGAAAATTAAATAAACTGATGAACGTGAAGTCGTATTAGAAGCAGAAATGTCAACACGTTTTTTAGGTTCCAGTTTCCTAAATATGCTGATTAGATGATTTTGTTTTAATTATTTATAAATAAAGAGTCAATGTATGTCCACTTCTTTAAAGTCAAACTTTTTTGTATTCTTTTTGATGTTGCAAACAGCTGCTGGGATGAAAGATCATCAGGATTTTCTTGACATTATCTTTGAGCTTTGGAAAAAGGTTTTTGTTTACAGTTTTTATGTATTTTATAGTTGACTAGAAATAATGCTAAGCTGCAGTGCTAGTCAGGTACCTCCTCCTCCTCAAGGCTTGGGGTTTACCGTCTCCTAATGCAGGGGTTCCCAAACTTGCCATGCCAAGGACCCCCATATAGCATCGGCCTCTAGTGCGGCCCCCATATACTTGTAAATATTGTCACAACCTGGCTCAACATAGCAGTGACAAAAGAGGGAGACCACACATAGTCGGCAACATTATTCAAAGGAGTTTAATTAAATTAGTAAATTAAACAGTGTTAGATCAGTGAGGAGTATCAAACTCCAACCAAAGCACAAACAAACAAATGTTAACAGCAGTATGCAGGAGAGAAGAGGCCCAAGTAGATTGAGCAGGTCTGCTTTGTAGACTCCCAAACCAGCCAGCTCAGGTGTGCTGCATTAGAGTCCTCTCTGACTCCACCCACGTCTACCTGCAATAAGGAGAACCACAGCCAGCAAAGGGAAACATACAGGAAGAGGCCAACCTTGAGGCCGTCACAATATATATATATATATATATATATATATATATATATATATATACACACACACACACACACACACACACACACACACACACACGTATTTCATCTTAACTGGTGCAATCACTCTGTGCAATATCAAACTGTATGTCTTAATAGATTTCCATCTTCCTCTTTTTATTTCTATTATTAAAACTTTTAATGCTGATGTCTGTCGAGCTGTTGCAACATGTGAATTTCCTCCTGTCACATGACCCGAGTACCCTCCTTTTAGTGTTTCACCCGCTTAATGCAGGCTGTCAAATGTCAAATGTCAAATATGAAGAAGTCAGAGCGGGGGCTTCTGGCTCACCTCCAACATTTCATTCAAATGCTCTCACTGATTAAAACAAAAGTCATTATTATCTTTCCTCTTCGTCTCAGACCTGTGCTCATTCATATCTGGCAAATGTTGATTAATTTTCACATCATACTTAACCCTGTGATGTGCTGATGAAGAGCATCCCACGGAGGATGAGGGATGCATGCATGGCATTCACCCCTTGCAGGATGTGCAGATGATTTGATTGCAGGAGGATGAGTGCTTAGCAGGTTTTTCCAACACAGACCTCCTTACATCAAGCTCCATGCACGGCTGAATCTCCCAGCAGATTATGATGTCACGGTGGAGTGGGAATAGCATCAGCTCTTCATCTGAAGCCAGGGATCACCGACCATGGATTAAGTGCATGCAGGTGGCGGTCTGTGGATGCTGAATGCTCAGCAGCAGCGGAAGCAGACATCATACATGTCGTGTTGGATTTATTTTGCCGGAGGAGCTCTTAGGAAATGAAAATGTGGATTCATGCCTTCTGAGGATGAAGAGTGAAAGAAAGATCATGAGAGACGACTGAGGATTGGTTTCCCTTCTTTGGTAAGCTTTGCTAAGACTCTTCTGCTGCTGCTGCTGCTTCTGCTTTTCAAAGTCATGAGAGATGTTAGACTTACCTGCAAAACAATCTTTAAAGCAGAATAAATGAGCCAATCAGTGATGCTTTGAGAAATGAGAATGAAAAAAACCTCTTGTGATGCACTTTTATGTCTGCACTCCCCCCCCCCCTACAAACATTGACTTTACACTTTGTAGACTGACTCTGCCGCCAGGAACGACCAGTAGTCAAGATGAAGGTGAAATGGACCATGCTGGGGATGGTGGTCTTCTTTCTACTCTCTGTTATCATGACCTTTGGCTTCATATGGCAGTACAGGATACCAAAGCAGAAGAAAGGTAAAGTCTAGCCACCACAGAGGGACAGATTTAGCCCCTCAGACTACACACACACACACACACACACACACACACACACACACACACACACACACACACACACACACACACACACACACACACACACACACACACACACACACACACACACACACACACACACACACTTTTTAACCCACACAGAATTACTTTTTAACCTGGAGCTTCTTTTAGACCAGGGTTTTCCTTAGCCTCTTAGGTGTAATTGCTTGTTTGCAGAACATGCAGCGCTGTGGGATTAGACAAGGCTGGATATAGAGGCAGCAGGATTAAAGCAGGACTTTAACTCCCCTCCTTCTGAGAGACCGGAGGAGGAGGAGGAGAAGGAGGTTTTAGCTGCTCATGCTTCTAGCTTTTGATTGTGACAAACACGCTGCACCTGAAGGAGTTAAAAAGTCTCATCACAAAGAAAACAACAACTTTGTGACCTTGAATCTGTGGGAAAAGCACAGCGACATATTTACAGCACTTAATGACAGATTGCACAATGTTTTTGTTTTATGGCTAGAGTGTACAAGCTGCATTTATGTTTAAGCACCTTTGATCTACCACCACCAAGACCAGGTTCAGGTTCAGGGCCAGGTTACTTTATTTGTACCCGTCGGTTGTTTGTTTTATAGCCAGCAAGATAGCGACAGTCAAGAGCGCACTAACTGAGACCAGGACATACCCGACACCAGAGTGCTCTGAGAAAAAAACAAGACCAAGGCAGGGCGAGACCGAGACAAGACCAAGATTTTATAATTTTATAATTCGCTGCAACATAGAACACAGCGAGAGAGCCCGCTACAGATGTCCATTTCTTTTTTTCTTCTGAAGTCACTTTTGATCACACAAGTTTCTGTGAGATCTCGTGTCTGTGAGATGGTTACTACACACAGAAGGTGTGTGGTTTCGCGATCTGACCGAGTCATCAAGTGTGTGTGTTCCCACGTTTTTAAAATCTGTTAAGGTTTGAAAATCGTCTCATGTGACAGTGTGCAGGTGTTTGCTTTCATTTATCGATAATAAAAAACAAGAAATTACCCAATTTTAAGGTGCCTACAAAATCTGTTTTTGTTGCCATGGTATCGAATCAGGTATCATATCGGTTAAATTATGCAGTTCCTTAAGTGTCCACTGGAGGCTGGCTCCAGGAAGTCCAAAAGTCACATACACACCCATTTTAAAAAGTCGTTTTTACGGCAGTAATTTACATGTTTACAGCGTGGTACAAAAAAACGGGGACGTTGAATTGTTTTAAATTGGGCGCCTTGTAACAGTTTTTTCAAGAGGCTTAGAACCTGCCTCAGCTCCAGCTCTCAGCCTGTCGTTAGGTCGACTGAAAGTTAGACTGAGACAGCATTTCCAACATGGCGGCTGCTGCTGATGAGCCTCCATCGCCCCCTGCAGGAACAGACGGCTGACGTCACTCAGGCTTCGTCCGTTAATATTTACAGTGTTTGGTCATTCCCCAAAGGACAGAAAAGGCTCGATCATCTTGAGGACCAGCTGAGGAATAGTTAGTGAAGACCTACCTCAGGTTACATGGAGGCTCTTAAGGGGTCAGGAGGTCATCAGTGTAGTCCTGAGCTGACCCTGTATGAAGCTTTAAAAGTGATCACCAGCTTAATGATTCTGAATGTGTTTAAATCTTTATCGATTCCTCGATACATTATGATGAAATGTGTGATGTGTGTGTTTTAATGTTGAAACTGTGAGTTGATGTTGTTCTTGGCCAGCTCTTTATGGAGACCTTTATTGGTCGTCATTTGAATAAAACCAGTGTAAACATGATCTGTAAGTGGAATATTTACACAATTTCTTATTACTTTACTAATTTTTTTAATGAATGACCATGTACCAAGAGGTATCTGATTAGGATAAATTGTGGAGTTACCAGAGAGCCAGAAGGAGTCACCCCAGCTCGAGATTAATCCTAATCAGATGCCTCCTGGACGCCTCCCACTTGGGAGGTTTTTGGGGAACGCCCAACTGGGAGGAGACCTTGGGGTAGACCCGGAGTTGAGCCTGGGAACACCTCGGACTCCCCCAGGAAAAGCTGGAAAAAATGTGGCTGGAGAGAGGGAAGTCTGGGTTGACTTACTGTGCTTGCTGCCACCGCGACCCAACCTTGGATAAGAAATGGAAAAAAATGAATCATGAATTCAATAAAAATAACTTTAAGGTGTATTTTACATGAAGGATCATTTAATGAAGTCCATTTTCAGACTGTAAGACTGAAAAACAAATGGACCACTTTTGTTCTACAGCCTGATGGATAAGTTGTATCATTATGTTTCATAGCATGCTGAGAATTTCTTTTCCTCTTCCCACAGAAGTCCAAGAGAGAAAAGTGGAAGTAGAGGAGATGTGTCCTCGCTTCCCTGAGCCTGTGCCCCTCCAACATCCCATCACTTCTCTGAGGGTCGCCTTGGAAAAAGTGAATCTCTACATCTCCTGTTTATCTCGCTCACATTAAAACGTTTTATATGCTGAAATAAATCCTGACTGAAGCCTCTCCTCGCAGATTGATATCCTCCTGAGGACGACCGTTTTCAAGACCAAACTGCCGGCCATATCAGCCATGGTGGTTTTAAACGACTCAGTTCTGTGGAACGGAAACTTTGGCAAGAAAAACATCAGCGACCCGACCTCAGTGGCACCCAATGAGTATACAGTGTACAGGTGAGATGTGCAACAGGTGTGCAAGAGATTACCACAAAATATGACAAGAGGGAAGAGATTTCTACATGCTGAATATTTAGTCTGTAACGTCTTTTGTCCGATTGGAGCTTCTAAGCCATTACATGGTATTAGCAGCTCCATTTTCCATCCATACTGATTACCACACATGTTGTAAACTGCAGTCTAATTCTTGTATTCAATGATCTGAGGCTTACAAGTGGAATTAGGGGTAGGGGGTTAGGATTAGACCTTCTTTGTAGTCAGTAAACACCATACAGGAGCCGAGATCAATGGGGACTGAAGCACTCTCAAAATTAAGAGCTTAAATCTGATCTGTGCAGCAGCAGAGGGAATGCTTTATATTATTAAACCATGAAACATCCATTCAATCAGTGGGAATGAGCATGTGTTAATACCTGTGATTGCAGAATCGCGAGCCTCTCGAAGATCTTCCCCGCTCTGATGCTCTACAAAATGTGGGAGAACGGCCAGGTGGGCTCGTTGGACGACCCCCTGGAGAAGTACGCTGACAACTTCACCATCAAGAACCCGCTGGGGAAAGGCGGGAGGCCAGCCTCGTCGTCTGTCAGGACCTCCGGCAGCAGATCTCCTGCTCTCACCCTGCGCAGGATGGCCAGCCAGCTCTCTGGTAACTCCACGACCTGTTGGAATGAAATGGCAGCCATATTTGTAAACTGTACAGTCCAGTTCTGGATCAGGCCCATTACCTTTGACTTGATCAGTTATTTACAAGGGTGTCCCTTCCAATTACATATGATGTCAACCAATCAGAGCTCAGTTGGTAATATCGATGTTTCGCACACTCCACTCTACTAATATAATATAAATCAAGTATATCCTCTGAAAATAACTCTGTGAGTCATGACTGTCTACAGTGGGTGTAACACCTGAGTCCCACTGTCTGTGATGCTTTCAGAGTTTTCTATAGAGTCCTATCTTCACTTTGTTTACATCGCCCGGACAGCCGGCTGACTCCTCCACTCGCGTATAAAAGTTGTTTAATTGAGGGACTAGAGAAAAGAAGAATAACATACTGTACTCACTGCTTAACTGTGTTTCTAGATCACGGTCATTTCAGGTAAATTTACATGCAGTGTAAAGATACGAGCATAATAAAGATTGCTAGCATTAGCATGCTAACACAACAATGCTGGTGCTCAAGGGCGACATCTGCTGGATCAAAAAATCGCATTTAAAGCCTTTAATCAAAATAGACCATTTACTGCAAGAAAAAAGCAAATATCCATCAATCAACCTTTATTTGTAAAGCCGCAATTCATAACATGTTATTTCGAGACGCTTTACAATAAGCAGGTTAAAGACTTTACTCTTTTGTGTTACAAAAGAAAAATGGGATAACCCTAACCCTACTTGTAATAAGTTCATGACATAAAGTGTCATTGTGTAACTGGTGGCTCCACTTCCTCTTGCACCATTACGTCACCGCCCCTGCTAGCTCAGAAATGTAGGTCCAGACCCTCATACTGGACACAAGAGTAGTTCCATTTAAGGACACTACTCCTACAGCGCCCCTTGTTAACCCTTGTTTACATAAAAGAGAGAGTACCTGCATCTACACTGAGCTGGGTCCAGAAATAGAGCTAATCAGCTCAGAGTAAAGAGGAGGGATTAACAGAGGGGGGAAGCCCTGCTGGAGGCAGAAGTCCATCTGCAGGTTTAATTCAGGACACTTAAAACATGATCCAAACTGCTGAATAGTACATAAAAAAAAGAGGAGCACTTTTATGACAATGACTGTTGGAAAAGATCCTTAAACAAAGCACAAGACGACTTGACATTTTTATAAAATGATGGCTTAAGATGAGAAGTCAGCAGATAACCAACTTTACTACCAATTATATTAGGGGGAAAACATGTCTGTACCAAATTTAACCTAAATCCATCTGATATTTCTTGGGATAAACCATTCTGAACTTCCTTTAGTGGCAACAATGATGGTGACATTGTGGGGAGGGGGTTGCTGGAGTCAGTACATATTAACTGTTTGTGTCAATACATGTAGAAGATGTTGAGATATTTCTCTTACAGGTGGAGTTTTGTCTTTTTTGTTGTTCATTACAGTATAACGGGGTTTCAGTCCAATATAGACCAGACATCCATTCATGGACCCCATTGGTTAGCCATCACAAAACAGATATTGGCTTTGGTCCTGCTTTACAGTCGGACTACCAACTTGAGATCTATAAATAAAGTTGGAATTAAGACACAACATTGATAGGATTTCTTACAAGGAGCCAGTTTATCCTCTAACAACAAGCTGACAAAGAGCTAAGTCTTAGTCAGCAATAGTTGATGGGTTCTTAGATCTCATGTAGCCAATGTGCATTTCCCCTCTTTAGCTCACGACACAAAATGTTTTCCTGCCTGCTTCAGCTTGCTCAAAGGAATTTAGCCAATACTTCTTGGGCTTGGAAATGGAAACTATTCAAACACTGCCAACCCTGCCAATTGTCTATATTCTGCTTTTGTTAGAGCCAGGCTGCCGGTGTAATACTGAAATAAACTCTGTACTTGAATGTGTGTGAAGTGTATCCATTCAGCTTTCAAGTGAAGCTCTTGTGAATGTATTCAGTTAGTTCTGAAGTGTTGGTTTAACCTGGCAATTTGAATGAGCTCTGCATGACTCTGTTTATCAAAGGAGAGCCATTTTCTGTTTGTTTGAGAAATGTGCAAACACAACACACATAGCGGGCACTCCTCATTGGCAGAATAAAGGTCATGTCAAAGTGGTGGATTAAGTTCTAAAACATCTGGGGATTTTTTTTTAAAGAAGATTATTTGGTATTCCCCCCTCTTTAAAGATACCAGTGCACTTATAGATTGAACAAACCACAGATTTTTATCTCCAGTTTTACTCACTATGTTTTTTTTTTCTATATTTCGACAGGGTTACCCAGAAGATTAAGGTCAACTAATCTCCTCTGGAGCGGGGACACAGAGGAAGCCCTTAATTTGTTACAGGATGATGTCCTCGTGGCCGATCCAGGCACCAAGTAAGACTCTGACGCCTTCCTGGGTTGCTGTAGTTTTGAATGTGACAACGTTAAATCTGTACATGTATGTAGTCTAAAAAAAGTGTTTTGGTCAATTGAAAACATGGTATGAATCTTATCCTTAAAAGCAGAACCAGACCGTTGGATATCGCCAATGTTTGCAGTAAATTCTATGCACGGATAGATCTTTTTGTAAAATATAATAAATAATTTGTCCCTACTGGTCCTTTAAATAACCTCATGTGAAGTGATGGATTGATTTTGTTTATTTGGAACTCTTCTAAATACGTTACTTGTTGGGGTTTACTGCGGGCGGCTTATTTGTGGGTGGCTGTGGCTCAGTTGGTAGACTTGTCACCTCTCAACCAGAAGGTCGAGTGTTTGATCCCTAGTTGGGCAACATGTCCGATGTGTCCTTGGGCAAGACACTTAACCCTGAATTGCTCCCCTGCTTCAGTGGCGGTGTATAAACGGGATTAGTTACTTCAGATGGATGATACTACATAGCGATCACTACTATCAGTGTGTGAATGTGTAGGTGTGACATGCAGTGTAAAAGTGCTTTGAGTAGTCAGAAGACTAGAAAAGTGCTATATTAAATCAAGTCCATTTATCATTTACTGCTGGAGAAAAAACTTGAAAATGTCTAACTTTGCTGTCTGTTTCCCTCAGATGTCATTACAGCAATGTTGCTTTCTCGTTATTGGCCAACGTCTTGGCCAGGAAGGTGGCTGGCACAGACTTTGAGAGCTGGTTGTCTGAAAACATTCTGAAGCAGCTCAACATGGAGGACACCGGCTTCAACATAACTCCAGCCGTTCAGAAGAGAATGGCCGTTGGCGTGTACAGCAACGGCCAGCCGGCTCCCCTCTACAACCTGGGCTGGTATCGACCCGCGGGTCAGATGTATTCCACCGCTGCTGATATGGCCAAGCTCATGATGGGTCTTCTGGGCGCTTACAGCGGGAGACCCCTTCGCCAGGACACCCTGAACACGATGATGACGCCGCTCTACAAATGCCACAGCAGCTACTTTGCCAACTCCACGGGAACGCCGTGGGAGATCAACGATCAGCATGGCTACGACGTCGTGAGGAAAGACGGGGACCTGGACGGCTACGCTGCGACCCTCTCACTGGTGCCAAAGCTCAAGCTGGGAATGGTGGTCCTGATGTCCGGGGTCCGGCCTTCAGATAAAGACCTTGTGACTCAGGCCTACAGCTTGCTCATCCCTGCAATGGAGAGCGCCTTCAGGGAAGCTAAACGGACCCTCAGACCGCCACCCAACCCGTATCCATATGTGGGCTTCTATACTTACAGGAACATGACTTTCTATCAGATTAAGGTGGATTCAGATGGGGTGCTGATCATGCAGCAGTTTGGACCACAGGTCGACACAACCGTGCCATCCAAGTACCGGACTATTCGCCTGGACTACCTGCAGGAGAGAGTGTTCAGGGTGGTGTTCGAGAAGCCGTATCCGTGCAAGCTGAAGGTTCACACCGCCTCGGTCTCCCTGGAGGCGCAGGACCGACAGCTCTTTAACTTTTACCTTTTCAACAAGAGGGGCATATCGCCAGGGTTCGACTCCCCAGGACTCAACACTTACAAGGTGACGCGGATAGGAGGCAGACCATACTTTGCATCATGAGGAAAGGGAAAGAGACGCTCATCAAGTTCATCACTGGAACTGGGATTTGTGGGAAACGTGATATGGCAACACCTGGCAATTTTTTTGACTGACAATCCAGTAATCAAGTGTTCATTGTCTTGGATTCTACCTTGCTAAGGGTGAAGTGAATATTCTGGATTTATTTTGTATCATTATTATTATTATCTTGTCCTCTACCCATAGTAGATTCCAATTCTCTCATTTAGTCTTGTTGAAATATTCATATTCATTTTAAAGCGATTCTTCAGCACAAACTAACTGATAAAAATGTTTACTGTATAAATGTTTGCCGCCACGTGATTGGTCGATGGACAATGTGGCGGTAACTCTCTTTGACCTTTAAGTGCCTGCAGTATGACCCAGCTAAGAGAATAAACACAAGTGAGTGACAGGTCAAGTGATCAACATTTCCACCATGACAGTATGTAAACATGTTTATTTGGAACAGGAGAGCAAGACAGTACGCTGAATAAAACCTATGTTATATACAGAGGTTTTGTCAAGTCTGATTTTAGTGTTTATTCAGCACAGATGTTCGAAATTAGGTGTTACGCTCTCTTCTTTTGTCTTCACGGTTTGTCATGATGCTCGAGTGCTTATGGGAAACACGAATTAATATGAATACTATAAATAAATAATAAAGTGAATAGTACCGCAACAAACCATTGAGAAAGACTACAAGGCTACATTTTTAGTTGTTTGCATTAACCAAAGAAAACAGAATCAGGATCTCATAGTTATGATAAAAGATCTTGTTATTATGACTGGAAACTGGGAAAGTGCCACGTACTGCAGTCACTGCTTTGTTTTGAACCACTGCACTGCCACAGATGCATTTCAAATTCATGAATTTATCTTTTTTTTAAAGATTTATTTTTGGGATTTTTGTGCCTTTAATGGAGTGACAAGACAGTGGATAGAGTCAGAAATCAGGGAGCGAGAGAGAGAGAGTGGGGAACGACATGTGGGAAAGGAGCCACAGGCTGGATTTGAACCTCGGCCGCCCGCTTGAAAGACTATGGCCTCCATACATGGGGCGCTTGCACTAACCACTGCACCACCAGCGCCCCAAATTCATGAATCTATATCCACGAAGCGTCCCGTCTTGTATCAGTTTAACTCCTCTTGCTACGACTTGAGATGCCTGCTCAATGTTGACGTACTAGTATGAACGCCATCAACACATTTATAGGGACATCAGTGTTTCCCAGCGTCTCATTCAGTGTAGGAACTAAAAGCAAAAAGAACCCGATTAGCGCTGTAATTACATTCTGCCTTATTCTAGCGTTAGCTATGATTGACATCGGCCTGTTCAAAAGAGTGCATTATCAGTAAAAGCAAGATGAATTCAACTGAATCTGAGATGCGTTTGACTCCGTTTGGCCTTTCCAAAGACGTGTTTAGGTGTTGTATAGGAACATTGAGTGTTTATGTTGTCCTAAGACAGACTTTAAAATAGATTTTAGCCAGTGCATAGCTGTCCCCATGCAGAGAAAAGAACCTTGTGCAACCCTCCTGTCAAATGAAATGAAGCTGTCATTGATTTGTAGTCCTTATTATCAGTATTAGAGCGCAGAGTACTGAACACACACTTATCAGCAACCGAAATGCACAGCAACATTTTCTTCAAAATTTTCCACAGCTCGAGACAGCAGAATGACTTTATGGCTTCATGATCAGAGTCTGATGTTTATTATTAACTACCCTTCAGGCGCCGCCCGAGGTGTGTACTAACCAAGCCCTCTATAAATACACTGAAAACGACGTGCTGTGTTCAGAAGAGAGCTCAGAGACTCCAAAGACCAAATCCATCACATATCAGAGAAAAAACAGCAAAATGAAGACCCTCGTTTGCGTGTCAGTCTTCTTCACGGTTTTGTTCCAAACATCCTGCACTGTAACGGTGACGGTAAGTGTCGTAGCATTTACAGAATATCCACATGTCAGTGTTTTCTGTTAGGTACTCGATCCAGGAGTGACCCTGTTGTCTTTTAAAACAGATGATGTATCATAGCAGCCCAACACAGTGTAGCCCGCTGTTAAAGGTCCCATGTTATGCTTTTTCTGGTTTTATATGCTCTTTAGTGTGTTTTCCAAGTGTCCTGTGCATGTTTAGGCACATCTATGTGCAAAAATTCAAAGTCCGCGAAAACGCGGCTTCTCCTGCCTCCTCCTACCTCCTCCTGTTAGCTGTAGCATTAGCCGCATGTAACGCTCGGTTCTAGCCCCCCTCGATAAAAACTTGTCAGTGTGGCGTCATTGTCAGTGTGAGATCACTGATCTAAGCCCATTGGCTCATTGTGGCAAGCCCAGCAGCTCATGTTGAAATTTCCGAGACGCGTGCTGAGCAACTGACCAATAACGACAGAGCGGATCGGCAGACCAATCAGAGCAGACTTGGCCCACGTGGGGTCTAACAGTGTGGGCTCAACAGAGCGTAGCTGGACTCAGAGCGTAGAGGGAGAAAGGAGGAGCAGTCCATGAAAACAGACACTTTTTTAGAACTTTAGCTATTGTGAATGTACAAAAGTAGGTACATAGATTAAATATACGAACCCCAAAAAGGGCATAATATGGGCTCTTTAATTAAGTTCAACGTTCAAGAAGAACGGGACACAGTAAACAAAAGGGACCCTTTAGGGTTGGATCGGTACCCTTGGATCCCCAACAGATTGGTACCAAAAAAGTAGGATGGTACGGATCCCTTATTTTGGTACCATTCCCAATTTTTGACGGTGGAAACCCCAATAAATGGGCACCATACCTTGGTGGAAACGGGGATTAAGATACTGAACTGGGTCACTGTTCTGACTTTGGCTCCAGGTACCAGGAAGTCTAGCAGGTTTCTCAGGTGTATCCCAGTTCCCCATTTACAACACACACATGTTCCTTTAGTTGCAGACTAATAAGTTGCTTAATGAGTAGTTAATCATTCACAGAGTGTTGAATTACAGGTTTGTGAGAAAGTTCTCCCAGCTCTACATTTTACTCCAAACTTTTCAAGTTCTCTTTGTCATCAGGTGGGAAATATTCAACGGAACAAATTGTCTGGCTGTTTTCTGTGAAAGATTACAGAAACATTGCGACCAAAAATCAATTTATGTGTGACTAAAACTGTCAACGTTATGGTGTATAACAAATGTCTACCACAGCCAATCAATACGACTTGATAGAGGAACGTTCCCTGTTTATATCAATTATAAAACCTTTGTATTTTTCAAGTTAAAGTCATAATTATTCGAAAAAAACATGCATGTTCCTGATAAGTGAAACGCAGATGTTTAAGATGAGACTGTTGAAAATGTCTTCAGTAATGCAGCGACTGAATCAGGAACAGTAGTATCATAAATCTGGTTTATTTTGTTTTTGTTTCTTTGGGTTTTATTTTGAAATCTTTAAAATAAAGCTTAAACAAAAGACGAAGGAGAATTAGATGAGTTTCTTTTTCTTTATGCGACACCCTTTTCCAACAGATTGGTTATAAATGGAGTCTTCACAGAAAGCTAGATGATATTGGTTGGGTTATGTCTTCTTATATATTTTGTCATTTTTAAAATGTTTGAAACAAAAAAAGGAACAGATTCCTGCAGATGTTGATGACAGTTGTAGGTGACGTTTGTCCTCTGCTGATCACTCATCTTACTTTGTAGGAAGGAGACTTTCACTTCTCTCTGGAGGCGGTGAAAGCTCTCGGGGCTCTGATGAGCGCAGAAGAGGACTCATCTAAACAGGAAGTGAAGCAGGTGGAGGTCGAAACAGCGGCCGTGTGCTCTCACCCCGATCTGCCCGAAGACTTCAAACCCCTGTGTCTGAGGGAGGATGCAGGAGCAGCTCTGGCTCGACTCGGTAAGATCGGTCATCAAATATCTGAGTTAAACATGCACGCCTTGTTCTGTGAAAGCATAGAGACACATCTTTCCACATTGTCTATATGGTATTTCATTAAAGGTCACATATTATGTAAAATACATTTTACGCATGTTTCTCTAACACTCATGTGTCCCTCGTCTGTCTACAATTTTCTTGTTTCCCAGTAAAATTACATTTTATAGAGGAGTTGGTTGTCTCTCAAATGCAAGGTTGTTGGTACGATCCCAAGCATCTACAGCCACATGTCCGATGTGTCCTTGGGCAAGACGCTTAACCCCAAGTTGTTCCCACTCAGAGGCGCAGCTTGTCAATGGCTGACAAACTTTAAACCACAGCATAGATACAGTTTGCATCAAGGGGGAACGCCCACAAAACGTCACATCCGGTTTGCGCTGAGGGGGGAAACAAACCGCTAGATACAAAGCTAAAGTGCTGCTGTGTGCCCTTCGTCCCTACAAATCCACTGAAGTATCAAAATCTAAGGTTTCATATTTTACCCAACCGAAGCACAGAGCCCAGTAGGAGAGACTGGAGCGAGCGGACGAGCTTAGTCGCTAGTGAGATCCAAAACTCAAACGTGTATGTCTGTAGTCAGCACTGCATTTGGGAACGACACTTTGGTCCGTTTAGTTGGATCTTTCGTCCAGTCTTTTAAAACGTATTGGACAACAACTCCATCCTCTTCTGTTCAGTTTATCAATATATATATATGTCTTTGTCAAATGACAGTAATGAATCCATATGGGACATGACAGCTTGTAAGCGCTAGTATCGCAGTTCAAATTCCAAAATGCATCATTGGTGGCTGGGGGGAAAGGAGTCTTTTCCCCCACGGAAGGCCCTGCCCCCAACTATGACGCGACGCTGATTGTATCTATTGCCTCCAAATGTGCAAATTTTGCAATGACAGTAGGGGGCGCCACTCGCTCTCTCAATGCCCTGCATGCATTAATTCTGTGCAAACCAACATTTGTCAATGAAGGAAAATGAAGAGGAATAATCTGTCTGGGAGTGAGAAAAGGCTGGATCGAGAGGCCCCCAATTATTTTTTTTACCAGGGCCCCAACAGACACTAGAATCGCTTCTGCTCCTCTGCGATGGTGTGTGAATGTGTATGAATGGGATGAGTTACTCCTGATGGACTCTTTACACAGCAGCCAATATCATCAGTGTGTGAATGTGTAGGTGTGACCTGTGGTGTAGAAACGCTTTGAGTAGTCAGAACACTAGAAAAGAAATATACAAGCTCAAGTCCATTAACCGTTCACCTTTTATTTCTCTTCCAGCTGTGGTTGCTTCTGACGCTGACGCCTGCGAGATCTGTGAATCTGTCGCCTGTATCGGCTGCTGAAAGGAAACCTGGTGTCCTAAAACAACGTCTCTTAAATCCAAAAAGTCATATTTAAAATGCTAATAAAGAAAGTGGCATTGATTTCTTACATGACATGCCCATTGATTATGTTGTGTTTCATATGTGTTTTGAACTTTGTGAGCTGAAAGCATGCGGTCAAATTTTTGTACATCTGGTTAAAATGTTAAAATATTTTTATATTGCCTTTTTAATGAAATCTCAATAAAGTGTTTGAAAAATCGGGAAAGGTTTCTAATTCTTGTGTTGTGTATTTCAAAGAGGAGACGCGGTGGCGCTTCACATTTGTGTTTTTGTGATTGATCATCCGGTGAAAGTGGAATAACAGCTGATGTAGCAACAATTTAAATTGAATTGTATAAAATATGTAAAGGAATATCAGGAAGGAGAAAGACAAATGTAAGTTTATTTTATTTTATTATTATTTTTTCACATTTGATTGAATTTGTAAAAGAACATGAGGAGGGAGAGAGACACAAATGTGAGGTTTTAACTGTATTTTCATTTAATTTCTTTCTTAATTTAAAGAGTAACTAAACCCTAAAACCACTTTTTTCAACTATAAACCTCTGTATTTGAGTATTAAGTAGTGTTATGGATCAATCCAACTCCCAATCTCGACATTTGAGTACAAAGTATTGAAATTTGAAATATTGTGTTAGAAATGTGCATAGTGTCTGCCCTTCCGTTTGAAAAACTCTAACGGCTGTGTGGAGTACAGTACTCCGTAGGAGTGAATTACTACGTCACCAAACCTATAAAAGCCTCGTCACCTGACTCGACGAACTGTGGGGAGTCAAGTGTGTGTGTGTGTATTTGTGTGTGTGGGGCAAACATTGTATCATGCTGCGGCTGATAACGGTGCGAAGCAGTGAGTGGGCAAGTTTTTTTTTAATTAACTAACTGTGGGAGAACCGAAGCGCTCAGAGTAAACCCACCCCACCCCCCCCCCCCCCCCCCAAGCATTGTGCAATTGCATTGGCCATGATGACACCGAATATGAGGCGACATCTGAAGGTGTACATGAACGGCTTGAAGAACTGTTTAACCGAGCTGCTCTGTTTTGATTTTAACAGGCGCTTCTTTAGAGCTTCAACAATGTAGATGATCGCGGGCTGCTGCTGAAGCATCATGCCGCTCCACACCGCCTTTTCATCAACGCCCGTCTTGAGTTCTTTGTACAGCTTCTTGAACGTCTCTTTCTTATTGTCTGTGCTGAGATCGAAAGTAATTTCAGAGTCTTTCATCTTTACCCAGAGCAGCTCCGTCATTGCTGTGATGGTGGATTGGTAGGTGTCACTGGCTGGATGGACCAGAGTCTTTTTCAGAATGTGATCCACCAGCCCAGTCACCATAACCTCACAGGTTAGCCTGTCCCACATGTGTCCTTCAGTCTCCTCAGCTTCATCCCTTAATGCTGAATTCTTACTCTTTTCCACGACTCGCCCGACACCTATCGCCTCCGCAAGAGTCAGAGAAATAGTGTCGCCCAGACAGTCTTGAATTTGCCTCCTTGTAATGCTCTTCTGAGAGCTACTGGACCCTGAGGAGCATCTGGATGATTTTGGAGGACTCTGTTGAGAGTCCTTCCTCTCCAATGCCATGAAAATGTGTTTTGTTAAAGTTTGCACGATATCAATACACAAGGTCGTGATTAACGCTTTGGCGCTCATGTCATCGGAGCTGTCCGCCAGACTGACCCACTGATCAAAAGTGAGCCTATCTAGGAACATGTCCATGACAGGACGGAGAGTCTTGGTCGTCAGCATCGGGAATGTCTGCACCGTGCTCTGATTGGCGTTTGGGCTCTGCATTGTTTTGATTCGCTGTGTCTTTAAAGAGTAACTAAATCATTCCAACCACTCATCATGGCCAAAATAACATTTCGAATCAAAACAAATCCAAACGGTTACAGAGCCGGAGTGAAAAAAAAGGAGGCGAGGAGGTTTGTAATCAGAGGGAAACGTCTTCATTTATTCATACTTTATTCAGATCTCACAGGATTTTTCAAGAGAACTCCCTCTGTCTCTTAACCTTTTTTTTTCTTCTTTTGGTTAATTTAAAGGTCACATATTCTCCTCCTTTTTAAGAAAGTTAACCCTCGTGATATCCTCCCGATTGCTATACACCAGCTGTCTGTCTGTCTGTTGACAACAGACGTTAGTAAATTCAATAAAAAACTCATAATTCAATCAAATTACCTCAAATTTACTGTAATCATGAAGAGCATAGTACTGAACAACCCCAATTATTTTCACCATTTGATGAATAAAAAACGGCAAAAGATTGAATTTGGGGTCAGATTGACCCCAGGAAATCAGGATGGTTAAATCCCGTTTTGCACCAAATGGCATAGGTGTGAAAATAAGTGTTCCTGCTGCTCTCACTTTTTTCCTTATTGATCAGTGTTCATTCCCACTCAGACCACTAGAGGGCACTGTGGACTCTTATTTCACCATGGACTACACAAGCCTCTTCATCATGATCTTTTATTTGAGTGTGTAAGAAGTGTCCATCTTCAGTTTTTACACTGAGAGTCGGTGCCAAACTCCTGTAGGAGATACATCATTATTTTAAAGGCACAAATCATTTATGAGAGTGATTCAGGCAAAAAGGAGGAACTTAAATATCAAATTACTTTACAAAGGAGTTCCCAAATAGTCCACCTGCTGGAGTCCTTTACTGACCCTCTGCCATTTGTTGTATGCCATCCTCTGACCCTCCTCTTCTTCATCACATTTCTGTCCGTCTTGAGGTCCCTGTCCATTAATTAACCTCTGGTATCTTCTTCTTCTTCTCTCTAGTTCTTGACTAAAACAGCTTTTATACACAAGGGGAGGAGCCGGCCGTCCCGTCCGTGTGAACACGGCTCTGACAACAACACAGCCAGCGGGACTCGAGCTTCTCACTCATTGTAGACAGTCATGACTCAGAGACACATTTACACAGGATACAGAGGATACTGCTGTATTTAAAGGAATAAAAAGGTTCATAATAAAGAAGTTAAAGTTATGTCCTCCATCAGTAAAGACAAACAATGAAGTCAAAATTTGACTTCAGACATAAAACACACTGAAGGACAGTTTTCCCGTGACCCAAATACCACAACGGCTTTTAAATACATTACTTCTGTCCATCAGTGAGAGTAATAACATGATTTAACCTCCTCCCCCACACACACTTTCTCTCTCTCCCTCTCTCTCTCTCCTCTCAAACATGCAACAACTCTCCCTCACTACACCTACATTACTTTTATCCCACCAGAGTTTGGGGCTTATGGGAAATCGTGTTTTTTGAGGATGTGCAAGCATACAAAACCTTCTCTCTGTGAGGAGGTATCTGTTCTAATTAATACGTGATCTGTTGGTATCTTTAGCAGTTTTGCCAGTTTCTGAGAGCTGAACTGCACGCCCTTCAAGACCCTAATGCTTAGTTTTATAAATCAGACCACCGTCTACCAAAGTCTGTAAAAGGGAAATTATTTGCACATCACATAGTTGCAGAAATACGAACAGAAGAACTTCCACCTTTACTCCATGCCATCTTTTTCTAAATAATTCAATGTCTTTTTGGATCTTTGTCAGCTGAATATTTGGGGGAGGGGGAGAAAAAAAGGGAAACCACACTCACATGAGTTCTTCCTTTGGTGCCCCCTTTTGGACAAAGTGGCCTGTCTTGTCTTTTTGCTGATCTTGTCCTGAACATGGGATATAATGCTGTCACACTAACATAAAACTCCCGAGGCTTTCAGGTTAAGCTGCATGTGTGAACTGAAAAAGCCACATTTCTCACTCTGACTTCATCCCGTGTTTCTCCGGCCAGGCTCCTTGACATTTTTTTCAGAGAAAGTCAGAGTGAGCTGACGTGAGAACGAAGCAGGATATAATCAGGAGAATTCACCTCAAGCGAGTGGGAGGGGGTAATGAGGTTCATTCTGTCTGCACTGCAACAGGTATGATCTCTGTGCACATCATTAAACTGTTTAATTATGTTTTCTGTTCTTTGCCGCTCTTTTGTTTACATCGTGATTCTGTTGAACTACACGTAGCATCGATAAAAAGTCAAATATTTTAATTATGGCATCATTATATATAGTTAATTTCAGAACATTTCTTGACTCAGGAGAGGACTATTTGTCATTAACTTTGGATGAATTCATTTGTTGGAGCAAGAGCCCCCCCTTCCTCCCTCTCTGTGAGTGCACATGGTCCAGTCCACAGCTGCAGCAGAGTTTGCAGACGTTTGTGTGTACTTGCTCTGTGATCTTAAAGCTGAGCCCAAGCTTGGTTTTTCAGAAGCTGATTTCTTCCCCCCTCCCTGACTTAACTTATTCACGATTGCATGAATATGTGTTGGGTTTGCTTCTAAAAAAAATGATAAGACAGCAAAGTCCCAAACTTGTCACATGAAAAATCAGGCTAGGAGTCAAGTGAGCAGAAAAGAAGAAAACAAAACCAGAGAAAGCAGTTTTACAGGCCGTGCATGTGTCCAGCATTTACTCCGAGCCCTTTCTGCAGTCTTCCAAGGATTACACAGAGCCGGCCATTCTCTGTGAGCTGGGACTGAAACCCCCCCCGACAGTGCGAGCAGCCACAGAGAGGCACCAGCTTTACTGCTCAATCTATGACCCACAAGTCAACACAGATTACATCTGATTGGATCGCTGATGGCACGTCTGACCTACAATCTGCTGCGTTCTCATCGCCGTCTCCCTGGGCAAAGGTTTCCATGGGAACAGGCCCTGGGCTCCTCTAATCTGTTGTTGTGCAGCTCTCACTCATCTGGAGGCAGGCTGGATTCCTTTTTGTCGGGCCCATATTCTTCTGCTCTATTTCCTCACTGAGCTCTCTCTCTTCCTCTCTCTCTCTCTCTCCCGCTCATCCCTTTAGTCTTGTGTTATGAAATAGCTCAGAGACGTCAGCTGCAGGATTACTGTGGACATGACAGCAGTGCAGCCAAGACACAAAACTCCACTCTTTTGAAATCTTAACACCAAAATACATAAGAAACTGTAAACAGCTACGTGTCAAAAACTTTATGCACATCCAAACATGGCAGCCGTACATGCAGCTCAACATTTGTTTCCCATGTAATTGTCATTAACGTGCCGCTGAAAAAGAAGCTTTCTGGTTTCAGGCTCTCCACCAGATGTTGAATGTGGTTGCAGGGATTTACTCCCATTCAGCTAGCAGAGAATTAATGAGGAGCTCCAGCTCTGATGCTAAATGT